CGGTGAAGGATCAATCGAATCTGAATTGGAGGCTTTGATTAAGGCTTGGGTGAGAGACGAAGTTCTATCCCTGTTCCTACATGCGGGAGGCAGAGGGGTAGGGTCGAAGCGGGTCGATTGGATCTGGTCGATCTAATCTTCCTTGCACAGAGAGATCCAGTGGGAGAGGATAAGGCACCTTGGGCTTGAGTCTAGGCCACAAGCAGGCGTCGGGCGGAATGCAGACGGTCGCGTGCGGCCTACGATGGGGCGGCATGGCTCCGGAGTTGGGTCGAGGGTGAAGCCGGGCGGCTTTGGTTACTTTGTGTGAGATATAGAGGAAACGATAGGTAGTTTTGTTTGAGCGAATAGTCATGTCTCTTGGGAGGGCGGACGATTGTGTGAGTGGGGCCGATCGATGGTTAGATTTCAACATGGTTGATTATATATTTATTGAAATTAGAATTTGGTTGTTCCTGAATTTAATTTTAGAACATTATAATTTAAAATCCTGCAAAATTTATGCCTAATTAGATTGATTTTTTGAACAAGTATATCATGTCAATGTACCTTCTTTCTTCAATATTATTAAGCCACGTCTCCTAATTTAAAAAATAAAATAAAAATCTGAGCAGTTTTATAAGAGCTTCTCCAGCCGTTCAGCAAACAGGCGAATGGAGAGCCTCAGACGTTTCTGGAATAAGTTAGATACTCCATCCTTTAAAGACTTTTACTTGGAGTTCTTTGCCAAGGATTATGATTTTAATGCTTATGCTTTGGTTTGGCACCATAAACATTCTTTACGGTTTTCTACGGTTTTCTGTTTACACTTGGGGGCCTTAAAACTGTAGATGGCATTATAAAGAGGAATATTCGCATTCAGGACTCTTGCTGTATTCTTTGTCATGCACATATGGAAACTATAAGCCATTTGTTGTTTGAATGTGACTTCTCTTTCTCGGTGCTGATTAGAATCATTCCTGCATTCTCGACTTACTATTTGAGGCAGAATGTTGCCCAAGCCTTCAATTTTGCTGGTATAACTTGATGGCAAACCTTGATCTCAAAAGTGCTATTCTTTTAGCTCTAAATGCTATTGTTTATCATTTGTGGTTTGAGAGAAATGGCAGGCGGTTTAACAAAGCAGCTGTTTGTGTGGTGACCTTGCCGAAAAAAATTATGAAAGTGAGTAAACTTAAAATTTCCACCTGGAAGAAAGGGGATTGGGTGGTGGAAAGGCTATTTCGTAGGTCTGTTGAATGATGGCTGGACGGGATCCCTTAACTTTTTTTTTTTTTTTGGACATTTAGGCCATTTAAGGCAAACTCACACACACAACGCATACACATAGACTCGAATCCTGGACCTCGCAGTTGGAAGCCTAAGCTCTCAACCAATAGGCCAAGGAGAGTTGTGTCCCTTAACTGTTTTGCTGGGAGCCTTTTTGGCTTGGAGGGAATTTTTTCTCTCCTGTTTTGGTTGCCGGGTGTTTTTTTTTTTCTAAAGTATCACTCCCTTTGGACGGTCTCTGGGCAACCAGGGAAGTGTCTTAAACTGGTTTCGGATTGCTTTGCTTTCTGAGTCCTCCCGATAGGGTTGCCTGTCTGTTTTATTTTGATTTTGCTTTTTTCTTGATTACTTTTTTGGGATCTTTTTCCCCCCATTGCTTGTACAACTGTTTTTTATAATGGAATGAGCTTAGCCCTTAATTTTCCCACAAAAAAAATAAAAATTTAGTTTTAGTATTTTTTATATACTTTAGAAAACAGTAAGAAAATTATTCCAAATAAAACTTTATATAATATTAAAATGTATAATTATATGGGTGCTACTTGTTGATTATACAAGGTTATATATATAACCATTATATCATAATGGAAATGAATAATAAGATAAATAAACAATTTATAATTATGATCTGCAACACTATTTAATTCTCACATAATATTTTTTGATTTTCTTATGACGAGTGCAATTTTTTATAAAGATATATAAAATTATTGTGAAGAAATTAGCTTTTTTGAAGGCTATTATAGAAATTATTTTTATAGTATTGATACGTCCTCAAAAAATTATCTTGATCGGGCACGAATCTCAATGCAAAATCAAGTTGGAAACTTCCAAAATTAAAATTGGGACCATCCAAACTCCAAGTTCAGCAAACTTACAGTCGAACTGAACGTCTCGGAAATATGAACCCAACGACACCAAATTCGACCGAGTCCAAATGGGTCCAAATCAAGGGTATGAAGTGTTGTTGGAGGGTTTGAACCACAATTTGGATTACCAAACGGTTTCCAAACATGACGTGCTTATAGTCGAATCGAGCGGCTCGACAAAATGAATTCAACAAGCCCAAGATCATTGAATTTCAATATCACTAAGGGGTTGTTTGGTTGTCTGAAAAGAAAATGCAATGTAAAGTAAATGTAGTGTATTTCAAATACTTTGAGACTGCTTGCTTGTCTTCAAAATAAACGCAAGAAAATTGTTTCCCTTATTTGGTTAGGTAGATCCAGAGTAAATTAAAAGTGGTTTTTTTGTCATAATTAATTTTAGCATTGCAACTAGTGTATTTATTAAAATAGTGTATTTATAATAATTAGTATTATTTGATGTTATAAAATAAAATAAGTGTATTTATTTATTGCACTATCTTATTATAATTTTTTTTTAGATTATAAAATAAAATTAGTGTGATTCTGATTCTACATATCAGCTTCCTCTTGCTGATTTTCTTTCTCTTGAGGCGTTTGCTCCTCTATCTAAAAACCAAAAGGGACGTAATCAATAGAAGCTTGCTGCTGCTGATTTAGCTTTTGCCACATTAAAGGGTATCAAAGCATTGACAGAGCTTTGTTCAACTCTAACCAGACATTTAAAGGGTATCAAAGCTTGCTCTAGCGACCTCAAAGATATCTTGAAAATAATGGACATAAACCTACAAAATCAGTAGGTGATGCCCTTTTCTTTAGTCACAACGGAAACATCCCAACAAAGAAATGAAACAGCAACCATTTATTTTTTTCTAACTAAAAATCTTAACTAAATCATGCATCATAATTTAATCCAAGCATCTGCAAAGAGATCGGTTCATCACTTCATCCTTTTCTTCTGAGCAGACTGGTGTTCTGAGCGGGGTATTTCTGGCAGCGATTTGAAGGGAGGAAACTTGGTGGAGAGGTCGAAATCGACGAGCATTATGTGTCCATTCTCCTGAATCAGAACATTCTCGGGCTTCAGGTCTCGGTGGACGATCCCTAATCCGTGGAGATACTCCAATGCTAGCACCATTTCCGACGATCCCATCGGAGAACATTTTCTCCGTCTGGCGCCGCCGAAGCGCGGTCAGATCGCCTCCAGGGCAGTGATCGATGGCAAATCCGACGATCTTCTCTGTAGAAACAACGCCGCGGAGGGAGGGGAACAATGGGTGATTGAGAGCAAGTAGCACGTCACGTTCAAAGTAGATCTGTCAGTGCGTACTTTGGCAGTCCTGGCCAACGGCGGCGGCGACGCCGGCTCTCTTGCATTCGATCTAGCTTTGAAATTACCTTAAGAGCGAGGGATTCGCCGGAGGAGTGCTCATAGATGTAGAAGACGACACCCTTTCCTCCACGGCCGATGACGGAAATAGCCGTCACCTAATTCTGCATACCAAACAGCCCCTAAGACATTCAAATGTCCATCAAACGTTCCATGATCAAGGGATTCAACATCAAGCTCCATCCAACCACTACCCATTAATCATTGATCTCTGCCACCACAAAAATCTATAAATAGACATCTTATTTCTCTTGAAGGAGGATAGAAGAAAGAAGAGAAGAAGGAAGAAGAAAATGGAGAAGCTTCTCCTTGACCACGACTTGAGTTCGCCGGACCCTCACCTCCACCGGATCACCACATGATGTCGTTGCTATGCTGGACCACAACTTAGGCCCTGAGCTAGCTCCATCGGACCACCACTTGAGGCCGTCACCTCCGCCGGACCACCGCCTGACGACGTTGCTCTGCCGAACCACCATTTAAGGCCCTGAGCTCCGTCGGACCACCACTTGAGGTCCTGAGCTCCACCGAACCACCACTTGATGCCCTGAGTTCTGCATGGCCGTCACTTAACGCCCGGAGTTCTGCCGGACCACCACCTTAGGCCCGGACTTCTGCCTGACCACCACTTGAGGCTCGAACTTTTGTCGAACCACAACTTGAGGCCCAGAGTTCTACCAAAGTACCGCCCTAAGATAACGATCTTTCTGACCCTTGTCTCCTGCTGACTACGGTCCTTCTGACCTACGTCGCCTACTGTGGTCCTTCCGACCTCCATCATCAAACAACGATCTTTTTGACCCTTATCTTCTGCCGACTACGGTCCTTCCGACCTCCATCACCAGACAACGGTCTTTCCGACCTCTATCCTATCGACTATGATCGTGCCGACCAAACAAACATGTCTATGTTGTAACTCCCACTATGTAATGCGCTCTATATGATGCACATTTGTATTATCAAGCCAATGCGTTCTCCCAAGGAAGGGCCTCGTTTGTAATCGACTGCAAATACTAGTGGATTAATTCTGGGCCAAACTATGGTTTTTCCCTCTTTATTAGGGATTTTTATGTAAAAACTCTGATGTCTCTTATGAATGCTACACCCTCTCTCTTATCTGATTGTGTGTTGTATCTTCGTACAATGTTAAAACGTTAAATTATATATTTCTCTATCGCTGCGAATACTCCAAAATGCAACAAGTACAAATATTTATTAAAATAATAGCTAAAATTTTATAAATGAGATTTAAAAAATAACAATGGGGAAAAAATTATCCCAAGCCAAGCAATGCCCCTAATCAAAGCTTCGAATTCGTGTAGGACTCTCTACCGATCGCGAAGGAGTACAAGCTGCCGGTTGTTCAAAATAGAATGGCAAGCAAACCTTACGTGGACACGCGTCGCCATCTAACTGGTTCAAAATACACTACCAAGTGAGCACGCAATCAAGCTTCAGTATAAAACTCAGAATGCCTCAAAGGTAAGGCAGGCAAGCAGAGTCTTGTAATCTCAGACGGCAATGGCTCGTCTCTTCCTCCGCCTCTTCTTCCTCTCCCTCCTCGCCGTGGCAATCGCTGCGGTGGACGAAGATCCGATGATACGGCAGGTTGTGGACGAAACAACCGCCGTTGACGCCGAGGACGAGCTGATTCTGAACGCTGAGGCTCACTTCTCAAACTTCCTCCGTAACCACGGGAAGAAGTACTCGGACGCCGAGGAGCATGCCTACCGTTTTGAGGTATTCAAATCCAATCTCAAGATGGCTGGGAGGCACCAGAAGCTCGACCCCTCTGCTGTATATGGTGTTACCAAGTTCTCTGACCTAACGCCGGCGGAGTTTCAACGGCAGTATCTTGGGATTCGGAAAACCCGTCGATCTTTGAAGTCTATTCATGATGCTCCGCTTCTGCCAACGAGCGATCTTCCCGCGGATTTTGACTGGAGGGATCATGGTGCCGTAACGGGGGTGAAGGATCAGGTATTTGCCTGACGTTATTTTCTTATCATGAACAGCTGTTTTCTTTTACTCCGATCTTTAATTTATTTTGAAATTTATGGATTTTTAGGGATCTTGTGGATCTTGCTGGTCGTTCAGTGCTGTCGGGGCGATGGAAGGGGCGAACTTTTTGTCCACTGGTAATCTTGTGAGTCTGAGCGAGCAGCAGATGGTCGACTGTGACCACATGGTTCGTTTTCTTCAATATCCAATCTCCTGCCCTTCTTAACGCTTGCGTGATTTTTCTATTTGATTATTGAATTTGTTAAAGGTACTAGAAAGCTTATTTGGATTCAGCTTATTAAAATTCCAGCGATGTGGTTCTCGTTTCTTTTTAATTGGTTATTCTTCCATGAGAGTGCGGGATTTATTCCTAGGTTGTTTAATTTGTGATGTTGTGGTGCTGTGGCGTTTTCAGGTACCACCCATCCGTTCCTGAAAATTTTGGCAGCATATATAATGACTGAACGATCATGATACTAATATGTTATATTAGTCCAAAAACAAGTATATACAATTTTTTCAAAAATTATAACTGTTTACATCCACCAATTAGGCTCAGAAAACTAAAAACCAACACATCTATATAAAACAAGGTCATAAAAAAGCCCCACTAAACAGTTTATTTATAATCTTAGGCTTAGTTTGGGACAACTTTTTTGCTGCTTTATAAAATAGTTTTTCAGCACACAATTTTTTTGAATTAGAAATTTTTGTACCTGTTTTAAAAAGCAGTAAAAAGGTTGTCTCAAAAAAAACCTTAATCATCACTAGCTATACATAAAATGAGACGAGTTTCTAACTGAGTAGGCAGCTAAATCATAATATAGTAGTTATGGGTCAAAACAAATAGACTTATGCATTCCTTTATATATAAAGTTCATAATAAGACACAAATGAACAAATATGTATAAGATGACAAAAACAAATACATGCATTCAATAATGATTGTAAGAGTAGAAGATTAAGTAAATGAAAGATATGACATGTTAGATCGATTCAATATGTTAGATTCAAATGTTGGATCATATTACAATTAAATTCTTGACAAAGTTTATCATGTAGAGGATATAGATTGTCATATTAGATGAATTAGATGTAAATTGTTAACCCATTAGTTATGGTTTGTCTAAACAGGCAGATAATGGCTAAAACACTCTCATGAAACTCATCAACTCTCACATTACAGATCAGATTAGGAAGGCCTGTCACCTAATTTAAGCTAAAATGGTCACGTTCCAAGCAAATCTCCATTCTTCTACATCACACGCCAATTTCTGTTCTGATAATAAAAAAAGGAAAGAAAATATAAGTGATTTGCTCATATTAAAATTTTAATACGTTTAACAGAGTTTCAAATTCAGGTTGCAATATGTTATGATGTCATAAGTTCATAAATCAATCATATAAGTTTGAAGATAAATCTTGGGTAAGCATTTTCAATACAAATTAACATATGTTAGTTAAATTATATGCGTTCAAAATTAGCCAAAAAATTTAATCAACTTATCATTATGTCACACATACCGACCCCACGTAGTGGGATAAAGGCTTGATGTTATTGTTGTTGTTGTATCATTATGTCACACATAGTAATCATACAACATGAGATTTATAACTCGAATAGATGATCAAACGAGTGCATACTATATTCATATATTAGTAGAGGAAACTTATAATCGCTAAACTCAATTCACTTGGTCCTAACAACATTGAAGACTCTATAAACAAAACCTAAGACAAAAAATGAGTTTTAAACCCCTGTACTCTCCCATTACAATTAAAAATGACATTAATAATAAGTTACTCATTAACAATTTATTATTATTTAATACTTAATTTTTTTTGAAATTCATTAAATTTATCAGAAGTTAGGGAATTCATCCCTAAGCATGGAAACATCTATAAATCATCATTTTTAATTGTATTTTTCAGTAAATAGGTTGATTAGGCCAAAAACCTCAAATTTGAGTACGAATTGGAGAAAACTCTTATTCAACCTAAACTCACAGAAATAAATCCAAGGCACTAGCAATTCTTAATCCAAGTTAGATTAGCTGAAGATTTAATTATAAGTTCAAATTTTATAGTTACCCTAGTCTATAGTTTTTAACTTTCGTATGAAAAAAAATTATACCCCCAAACTAGGAAGCAACTATTCAATTTTCATGAGAGGAACATACATTTTAATATAGTTTTATTGATCTTAAGCTTCTGAATTGATTTGGTGTTCATTAAGAAAGATGCTTGTCAAAGGTATGTTCAAGTTATAAAATATGTGGTGAATCGCTGTCTTGAATTAGAATTTATAAGTAGCTGCAGAATGACCAAATAATATTCAGTTACAGCTGGATTACATCAAGGATTAACGTTGAGTTTATATTTTCTCAGATTGAGCATGGAGATGCTTACAAAAAGACATTCAAAGTGAGATGCTTGATTTATATTTGTCACGGATGATATAATTTTGATTGGTGAGATGGCAGCAGCATCTTCATCATTTAGCCTTATTTCTTTTTAACAGAAAGAAAAAATATTACAAGAGTGGTGTGAAAGTTAGAAAGGAATTTGGAGCTAAAGAAAATATTATAAGGATAAGATCTAGGTCTTGATCACGAATCCAAAATACATAAGAACAAACTTCGAAGAAGAACCTAGATACAAATGATTCATATGTGAATAAGCAATTTAGTATATGTTGAAATATCAATATTCGAAGTCAACATCAAAATATCACAATTCCAATCCAATACCAAAATGCCACAATTCAAGTCAAAGCTAAAAATCACTGTCATTGCTCCGTTGTAAGAGAAAAAAAAATTCAATTTTTAATTATTGGAATATCTAGTATGTTTGAAGTCCCTGATGTATTTTTAATTTTTATTGCTGCTCTTCAAATGAAGGAAAAATTCTTGTTATCTTCTACCCACACCCTAATGTAAACCCAAGAATCAGATTTTCTGGGACTAATGTAACCCACCTCAATGTTCAATTCGCGCATAAGAATATTAATGCCACTAATAGTCACAGCGGTCTCTACAAATATAGAATGAAAATTTTGAAATTTATCTCCCTCAAACCCATTACTTGTTTGCGAAGGCTCATAAAAAGGAACATATGGATCCTTGTCCATTTGTGAATCCGAAAAAACTTCGTCCATCAGTAATATCCACAACAGTAGGAAGAGTTTGAAATTTTCTCCTAAAGTCACCGTTTTTTATGAATGAAATACATGGGAAAGAAATCACGGATGAAGAGATTTCACCATCAACATTATACGGCAAGCAAATGAGTGAGAACATATAGGTTTACGTCTCGAGAGGAATTCAAATTCTAATCTAGAATCACAGAATAGTTCTCAGGGGTATGACCATTCATTGAACACTTTGGGCAGTACTTCGGCCTATCGTCAAACACAGCTTGCCTGAAAGAAATTCAGGTAATTTTTGGCTTAAACGTGAATCTGTCCCTGTTTGTTGAAAAATTTCAATTAGCTTCCATTTTCTTTTGCTCTGATTCCTTACATCCTCATAGATCCTTATTTTAATTTTGAAGCAAGAAAATAGATTGGAATGAAAAAAATTAATATAGAGCAAAGTAAAATTTCAGTCTCCAATTAAAAAAATGTGTTTTTTTTTTCTAGATATTTCCAAGAAATCCTTTTGGGTTTTTACTTGGTTTTCAGATATTATATAACACATTAGTATAATTCAAAATGTTTAAAGAATCATAAATGAAAAACATAGCAGTTATTGCCTGCTTCTCTGGTTAAATTGGAGCCATGGAAGAAAATAAGAAGTCTAGATAGATTAGACTTGTCCTTATTCTATATTTGGTTGAAGTCTCATGTATCGTATTCTTTCTTAAGGTGGCAGTTCCTGTGAAGCAATGAGTTCTTTCCAATTGTCATTTCTACCCGGGAAAGCTCTCATTCATTTGAATTCTAACAAAAGTCAGAGCCATAGCACCAATTCTTCTTATAGTTTTAATTTGATCGAGTATTTGCATGGTTCAACGATTGATTTATCATAACCGTGGATTTGAAATATTTCACATATAGGCTTGGTCTGATCCTTGGATTTGAAAATGTACTCAATGAATGTTTAAGATTGCTAAACTATATCATAATTCTATTGTAGACCTAGTGGCTACTTATTTTTATCACAATATTTCATCATCAAGATTTTTCGTTTTCTTATTGTAACACAGTGTGATGCATCTGAGCCTGATGCGTGTGATTCGGGATGCAACGGTGGATTGATGACAACTGCTTTTGAGTACGCGCTCAAATCAGGTGGGCTCGAGACAGAGAAAGACTACCCATATACTGGAACTGACCAAGGTGGCTGCAAGTTTAGGGAGGAGAAGATTGCAGCTTCTGTTGCTAACTTCAGTGTTGTCTCGCTTGATGAAGATCAAATTACTGCAAACCTTGTGAAGCATGGTCCTCTTGCAGGTTAGTCTATATCAACTTTGTTATTGCACATCAATTGGCCGGTTTCCTGAGAACAACTTTCAATAATATTCTTTTTCAAAGCCTAAAAAAAATAATCACTGGTATTGGTAAAGTGATTAATTAGAAGCATGAGTTATTATTCTATGGCAGTCTTGTTAAATTTTAATTATTATTTGAATATCATTATTGTTCATACAATTAATGTAGAAGACAAACATTTTGTGAGTTTTTAAATTGGTTATTATTATAATTCATGTTTTTACATTTTATATTCCAATTATAAAGTTATTAAAATATTTACACTTATATATTCAGTCTTTTCTATCTAATTTTTTGTTCAGTCTTTTCTCAACATCTTCAAGATTTACTATTCCAACACTTAAAAGTTCTTGCTACATTTAAACAACTTATTGAATGTAAACTTGTTAAGAGCATCTCCAATGGAACGACAAACAACTGTTTGCCGTTCTTCCGTCGCTCCAACCAAGTGGCAATCTTACGCCATTTCATCGTGGATGAACAGTGCGACACCAATATTGGCATTGCATTGTTCATCTTCGCCATTTTTATGTCTCTACCGAACTTGTCGAAGAAACGCGCGAAAGAAGAGAACTGCCGTTGCGATGCAAAATGGAGTTCGATTGGAGATGAATCACTGTATTTTTTAGTTTCACGATATTTTGGAGTGAAAATTGATATTTTCAGTTGGAGATGCACAAAAATTAGGGCTACTTATGTTTTTCACTGCAATGAGAGGACTATAATATATTTATGATATTGTCATCCATGCAGTGGCTATCAATGCGTTATACATGCAGTTCTACATCAGTGGCGTGTCTTGCCCTTACATTTGCAGTAAGAATCAAGATCATGGTGTGCTGTTGGTGGGCTATGGCTCTGCAGGCTATGCTCCGATTCGCTTGAAGAACAAGCCATACTGGATCATAAAGAACTCCTGGGGCGAGAACTGGGGCGAGAATGGCTACTACAAGGTCTGCAAGGGTCATAACATCTGCGGTGTCGAGGCCGAGGTCTCTACCGTCACTGTCACCAACACTGCACATCGGCCTTAAGGTTTTATCCTTTGAAACCCAAATATAATGCTTTTGCTGCGGGTGCAGCAGTATATCTGGATTGTTTAGGGTTTGTATACTTCTGTAAACGAATTCATATGGAAGCAACAGATAAATACTCTTAAAAGTCTGTATTCAGTTAGCCTTAATCTATATGTGAATACTTGCATATGCTTCTTTACTTTTCTGAAGCTAGTGTTAGCAAGGACGGAACTGTGTAGTGCTTGCCCCTCCTAAAAAAAATTAAAACTTTTAGTACACTAGGAATTATTTGTAATATGCCCTCCTGAATTTTATTTTTGCTTCCAGCCAACTCTTTTTTCACGCAATTTATCCCACCAAAAATCGGAAAGCTTCTTGGCCTCCCGCTATTTTCATCTGATTTTGTTGAATTTTTCTAATTGTGGGCTCCGAAAAATTCCAATTTTGGGATGTGTGATCCCGGGGGAATTTTCAGAAGGCAGATTAGGTTTTAGATAAGACACTACCCAAAGATTTCGCCCTCATTTGGTGAGGACTTTTTGATCTGAGTTCTGGTTTCCTATAGGCGCAAGCCCCTATAGTTAATTACCCCTCCCGATAACGAGAGAGAACTTTCGATTAAGGCTAGTCGTTCAAGCGTTCACATAGGTGATCTGGCGTCGGCAGTTAGAGGTCAACACTAATACTAACAAACAAGTATGTGAAAATAGATTATGTGCAAAATAAATTATTTTTACACCATGATGTATATTTTTAATTTTTTATAAATTTGCTACTTGCCCTTCTGAGAAGGAAGATTGACTACACCCGTGTTAGAGGATTCTCTGCATATACATGCATATTTTTCTTATTTCTTTAGATATTGGACACACTCTTTAGATCAATAAAAACTGTGTATGCAGCATAAGTAACACAACAAAAGAACGAGTAATCAATTTTATTTGATAGAAGTATCAATCATATGTAGTGCCATCACCACTCTGCACTGCAAAGTTACATTGAATGAAGATACACTGTTGATTCTGACAATAGCAGTATTTATTATCATTAAAGTTTCGTTTGGAGTGATTTTTATTTGAACAGTAAATTTTTGTACTAAAAAATTATTTTTAGAAAATAGTAAAAAAATTATTCCAAACGAAGCCTATCACCACCATCATTTATGTCATGTAATATATATGCACGCACTTGAAATTCAGTAGAAAACAGGAGGTTGTGCTGTGGAGGGATATCAGTAGTGCTCTCTACTGTCATCAATGAAGCCAAGTATTTGCTGAACTGAGTTGGCAATCTCCTGCGCAGTGCAACTCGTCTCTGCCGTGATCTGTCTAACATGAATTTGATTAAGACTATTATTATAATCCTCTATTAAATTTATATTAACAATTTTCAAAGTGACAGTTAATTATATAAAAAACAACAAATAAATAATTAAGTGAAACATCTTGTATATTTGTTATAAATTTTATCTTATAAAATATTATTTATTTGAGCAAAATAGTAATTCATATATATTAAATTTTGTATGATGTAAGGCATTTATCTATTTCAAAGATCTGTAAATAAACATGTTTTGATAAATAAAATTATATCTAATGAAAATGATAAATAAATAAATAATGAATAATAAATTTGATCATAATGAATTTTTAAATTATTATTTTATTTTGGAATAAGTGCATTATATGAATACTAAATAAAATTTTATATTAACCACATATCATCAAATTTATTAAATTTAAAATTTATCATGACTAAAAATTTGATCAAATATCCTCAACTTTTTTTTTTTTGCAATAAATTCATGTAAATATTTTATAATACTAATTAATAACTTGTGGCCTCATTTTAACATTGAATATTATGATGAGTTTTGCTTTGTTGAGTCGAGCCGGTTCAAACTAGACTCATTAACAAGCTTACAAGTCAAACACATCAAACTACTAGCTTGAGCTCGAGCTTCTGCTTATTAGTTTGTGGAGCCGCTCGTTTAAATTAAAATATATTTTAAAATCAATTTCATAATATAATAACAAAATATAAAAGTAAATATTTTTAATTATTTATTGAGTCAAATTTGAGGCTTTCAAACCAGCTCGATCCTAATATTTTTCAAACGAGTTTAGTTTAAGCTCAATAAAAATTAAAAAGCTTAACAAGATTAGACAAATAATCCAGTCGATTTGACCCCTCTTCCCAACCCTTTCTTATTTGATTAATTATATGAAAACAATTAATCTTAAGCAAAAAAATTGCTAGAAAAACAGATCTGGCTTTATTAAAATCGCTTAATAAACATGTAAAGAGTTATAAATTACCTTAACATTGAAGGAGTATAGAACAGTCTGCTCAATTGTTGTGATGTTGGTATGGAGAATGCTAAGCTGCATATCCTCCAATGCAGCAATAGTCCTGAGAAGCTGGCCTGGCCTCCGCCGTGAGAGAATCTTGATCATGGCGTCGAGGCCGAGAAGTCGCACTTCGATGTCGGCCAATGGAGATTTGTTCTCTGCCATATCCTCCCGGAGCCCCACGCTGCCGTCTGAGGTGTCGACGCCGGCGAGAGGGAGCTGTGGGAAGAAGGCTGGCAGAGGCGGCGCTGGCTGTGGAATGGGAAGTGGCAGGGAGGCGTCGACGGCGCCGCTGCCGTATAGGCGGCGGCGCTTCTGGGATTCCAAGCACTGTAGGAGTTGCTCTAACTCTCTAACAAACTCTATTGCGCCGCCGATAATGGAAGCTTGGTCTCCCTGCATTTGTTATAAAGAACGAAAATGATAGAAATTTTTCATTATATATATAATAGAAATATTCATTTTTTTTTAAGATTTCATTTTAATTTTATTGATCAAGCCTAATAACGCTTATCCCATATGGCATATGCGTGACATTTAAGTGCTGATGTAATTTATTTTGCTATTTTGCTTCCCTAATTTGTAGGTGAAGCATGTAAGATCTCATGCAAGCTTTACTTAGGTTTCGTTTGGGACGACTTTCTTAAGCTTTTTAAAAATTTTTTTTTAATAAAAATTTTAATTTTTTAACTAAAATATTACTTTAAGAAATAACAAAAAAAATCGTCCCATAAGAAGTAGATTTCTAGAATTTTTTTAAAAATTTTATACTAAAACTTAGAAACGACTTTTTTATTGATTCTTAAAATAAAATTTTAGTAAAAAAATTAAATTTTTTAATGCTTCTTGAAGCAGCTTTTTAGTACAAAAATTTAAAATTTTACACTAAAAAATTGCTTTAAGAAATAGGAGAAAACCGTCCCAAACAAAACTTTAATGTATTACTAGTGATGTGCTCAATCATCATGAAATATAAGCAGAAGAGTTCATATATAACATTACTTATGCAATTAGTCTTCCAACCTTAAAATAAAGCCGGATATACTCGACATAATTTTCAACATTCCGAATAAATAAATTGCTCTCAATTATTTATTTAGAGCAATACTCTAACTTTCATCCTCCTCCTTTTGATTTGATAATCATAAATCATAACCAAAAGGTTACCGAAATCATTGACATTCCCTACTGCAGAGTCAATCTTTGCTTTTGATGAGATTAAGAAAAAAAAAGCATTGATGTGTCACCAAAAATTATTTTGAACAAGTATGAATCTCGAGACATATTCAAATTAAAAAATTTTAAAATTAAATTCGGGATCATATGAACTCAAATTGTATCAAACATATAGTCAAACTGAATGTCTTGAAGAGACGAACACAGTGATATCAAAATTGGTCCAATCCGAGCCCAAATGGGTCAAAATAGGACACTCAACCCACATTTGAAAGGTTCAAAGCCTAAATTGGATGACCAAATGATATCTAAATATGACATGCTTATAGTCGAATCGAGCGGCTCGACGAGACGAATCCAACGATTCCAACATTGTTGAATTCCGACATCAGTAATGCACTTAAACACTTGAAAAATGATCTATGGTCGGAGGAATCAATATGGGTCATCCAATGGAGCACACCGAACCTACCTTGAATTTTCTCTTATTTATGAAGTGTGCCACTCATAAAAATCTATGAATAGACCCCCTAATCTCTACATGAGGGGACACTTTTGGATGGATATTGGAAAGAGCTCTAAGGCTTTAAGAGCTCCAACACCTTTGCCGGACTTCAACTCAACCATCATCGGACCATCGTCAGGTCACCGACCGTAGTTGGACTTCCACACGGCCGCCGAACTTTCTCTCGACAGTCTCTGGACCGCCCCCTGACCTCCGACCACCGTCACTCGCCGACTACGATCCTTCTTATCACGTCACCCACTGACTACTGTCCTTTCAATCATCATCGCCCTTTGACGATAATTCGTGTGACTACCATCTCTCTTCAACTATGACCCCTCAAACCACTGTCACCTGCTGATTACGGTCCCTTCGACCAATGTCGCCCATCGACCCTGCGACCTTCGCCACTTGCCAACTATGATACCTCGAACCACCATTGCTCAACGACTACGATCATTTTGATCACCGTCGCATGCTGACTACGATTCATCCTACCATTGTTGCTCCCTACTGTGGTCCCTTCAACCAACATTACCCATTGACTATATATGGTCCCTTCAACCACCTTCGACTATCAACTACTGTCCTCCGACCTTTCGTTGCCCGCCAACTACGGTCCCTCTAACCACCGTCGCATGACTAAATTCCTGTTGATCAAGCAAACATGTTAACACTCTTTCAGGGACAACTATCATGTAATGAGCTATATACAATGTGTATTTGCTACATTAAGCCAACACCCTCTTCCGGGGAGGGATATTATTTGTAATCAACAATCAATACTAGTAGATTTATTCAAACTGGGTCAGGCACTATGATTTTCCCCCTTTTTAAGAGTTTTCACGTAAAAAATTGCAGTGCCTCTTACGAATGCTACACCTCTAGCTTTCATCTGCTTATGTGCTGGATTTTCGTACAAAACTAGGATGCTAAATGCCATGTCTCTCTACCACCGAGAATTTTCCAGGAGGCAATAATCATGATAAAAAGGAGCTAACCCTGTAATAATAATAATGCCAAATATCATATCCTAATTAGTTCCAAAAAAATTGTTAATCTCCTCTGATTGAAATTTTACTTCTTAAGCATGTAAGATTAGTGAGTAATGCTTCACTCACAAATATTGCGCATTTTAAATAATTTTGAGTCCAATAGGATCGAATGCGTACCCTTTGGACATAAGAAGTAGGCATTAGAGCCCTTAGCACCCGTAAATGCTCGTTCATCTGTCTTCTCCGATTCCTCTCAACAGCAATATGAGTCATCCTCTGACTCTCCACTTCCTCACTAGTCTTCATAGACCTTCCTCTCTTCCTCCTACTACCACTCTTCCCTTGATCCACTCCACCACCTCCTCCAATCTCCTGCACTGAAGAACCCGCCGCCACCGCCGTCGCCGTCGCCGCCTCATTCAGATCGGAGAACCGATGAGCCTCCTCTTCTTCCAGATCCTGATCATCGCCGCCGTCGATTTCGTCATAAGGAAGAGGAGATGGAGAAGGCAAAGAAGGAAACTTGAAGAAGCAGCTCTCGACATCCACGACGTCGCCGGAGACTTGAGTCTGCGGCTGCGCGTGGATTTTTGGCCGGAAGTCGGCGAATTGCATTACTTCTGCGAAACTTAGGTGCGGCGGCGGCGGCGCAGGGGACGTGTTTAGCATGTAGTCCACCATTTCGATGCTTCCGCCGGCGGCGGCCGCGGCGGCGTTTTGATCTGTGGCGTCCAGTGCTGCGAAAGCTGTCGGCTGATGTGCCTGCGCGGGTAAATTATATAGTTAAGAAACAAAGTATTTCTACGTAATATATACAATTTTTTTTTATACAATACATTAAGAGGAATGCTTTGCTGCCATAAACTTAAGCGCTGAGACAAAGATAAAGAAAAATCTTAATGCTTAGAACAGGCTAATGGCTAGCTCATTTAGTTGATTATAGATATAAAATTTATCATAGAAGAATAATTATATTTCCATTAATTTTATTTATGTAAGAAAAAAACTTCCATATTATTGTTTGGGGCATGAGCATGTTAATTAGCATATCTCATAGCCAATTTTTTTTTTAACTATATTGAATCGATTTTTTTTTCTTTTAAGAAAAATATAAATTTTCAGCTTTGAGCCTTTCAGAATTCAAATGTGCCCTAATAAGTACTTTGTGTGAGATGATCCTTAATTAGCTAGCCTATATTGCTTTAGTGAATGATATTATAAACTAACAGTTAAGACAACAAATAGTAAAAAAAAAAAAAAATAGCAAGAAGATCAACACACAAAATTTAAAAAACCTAATATAAATCTTATCCAGCGTTTGCTTGGTTTCGGGTATGATTCAAGAAGGAAAAGAAGATAACATACTAAGGTGCGAACAACTTATATAACGACGGCTAAATTTTTGTTAGAATGGAAGTAGCGGCGTCAGCGTGAGTGTCAGCGTGAGCGTCGGCCTCGTCGACAGTTGGGGAGGAGACGGGTCGAGCACGGAGAAGAGATCCATAGGTCGGGAGTGAGAGCACGGAGACATATTGAAGTTTCGATTTACGCGTATAGAATGAGTTAGGCTGATTTTGATTTACTAATACTGCTAGATAGAGATAATTAATTTGTTCTAATGAATGCTGCCAAAAATCTACAATTTTTGTAGTGTCAGATATTACAGTGGTTATAAACATCACAAAAATCTTTTCAGCGGGTCTAAAATCGTTGCAATATTATTGTAATTGTTGTTCGTTGCAAACATCTTTTATAGCTGTTTTGAGATGCTTAGAAATACATAAGTACAAAATTTTTAACTAAATATAAGAAGAAGAAGAAAGAAGCCATCTTTGTATATACATACATAAGAAATAATTAAACCCTATCTGATAATATATGAAGAATTACCGAGTAGTTGTCTTCCACCTCTTTTTCATCCATTTTCATAAGAAAGTAGAAGAGAAATCCTTCATAACATAAAGAATCCGAATGAACTCCAGAGAATAAGACTTCAGTAGCTAGCTAGCTTTCAAAGACCGAGTAGAAGAATTTGAGAGAGAGAGAGAGAGAGAGAGAGAGAGATTAGGCTTCTAGCTTCTAACTAATGGGATCACGTTCATGCATGCATGGTGGATATTTGATTTGTGGGAAAAGGAAGAGAGGAGCCTGTGTGTACATTAATTGGAGAATGGAGACAAAGAGAAAATCAATTGAAACAACTCTGCACCGCTCCGTCGATCGATCCATGCATGATATCAACGGTTGATATTTATGAGTTTCACATGCAATCAACGCTCTCTTAGATTAGTCTTACTGATCCCTTCTCCTTTATTACTTACCTTAGCTTCCGATCTCTCTTTTCATTAATCTCAATCACGGTTTTGTTTCGATACTTTACGTGAATCATGACGAATTCACTCTGCGTAGTTTAGAACAAGTGAGATATTTCAAAAAATAAATTACAGAAATTTTAAATGATGATAATAAGATTGAGATTTGCTAAAAAAAAAAATAAATTTTTATTTTCTTGTATCTGAAAAACTATTTGTAATGCATTTTTTATCGTTAAAATAAGAAATTTACTTGAGAAAAGATTCACACATTAGTGATGGAATTTCAATAATTTATAGGGATTTACTAGTAGAAACTGTCTTCTTCTTTCTTTTTAACAGGGAAGGAATCCACAAAATTGAGTTTTACTTGAGGTAATTTAAGAAATTTCTCCTTGCTGAATTTTTATTTTTGTTCTATCTAAAAAAGTTTTATCGTATGGACGGCTTTTTTTATTGCTTCTTAAAGTGGCCTTCTTGTTAAAAAAAATTAATATTTATACTAAAAAGCCGCTTTAAGAAGCAGGAAGAAAGTCATTCCAAACGAAGCCTAGTCTCAATCCTATTCACACAAGTATAGCCACTCCTTGTTTCTTCTGTGCGCTATTTCTCCTATCTTGTTCACACTTGTGAGACGTCGGACGACCTGCAGCCTATTGTTTCGACGGTTCCACCACTATTGCTCATTGAAAGGCCTTATCCGCTTGTGCTTTTCGAAGTGCTCACTCTAAAAAATAAAGCTGGTTCATACCTTTTTTTAAAAAAAAAAAAAAACATTAAACCTATCTAAAATGGATTCAAGTAATATATATTTTCCTTCAGAATTACATTCAATATAGTTTGTAAATAAACGAAAAACATTTAAAATTTTCGGACTGTTTCAGGAATAAAGCAATTAAACGATATTTGTAATTTGTTTTCGATATTATAATCAGACGCATCGACAAGTGATTCCGTGATTGCTAATCGCTAATGATGCATCGAAAGCTTCTCGCTCTATTAAAAATTTTTTGTACTGCAGATTTTTCAGATGGTTGGCCGGATCTTATTATATGGGCCTAGTTTTGGATCAGGTTTGACGAAGCCCGTGAGTTCCAGCCTTTTTTTTTCCTTTAACTTTGAGAAAGACGATGCTTAACTTGAAATTTTTGGGCTTTAGGGTGTTGGAGAAGTGTTCTTTTCATTAAAGATATTTTGATCGATCAATTCATAATTTTTAATGAAGCATAAATCTTGAGGACGGTGTGATCAAGAAGAAAATTAGAGCTTGGCTCAGTTGAATTTTGACTAGATTGATGCCAAATGGGTGTAAATTGACTTGGGCTTCTTTTGGGACGTTTTTTTTTTTGTTGCTTTCTAAAGCAATTTTTAAGACGTTGTAATCGACTTCCGTTCATCGTCGAACTTCCGCCTGTCATCGAAATTCTACCAGTTGTCGAATTTCTACCCGTTGTCGGAGTTTCGCCGGACGACCACCTATCGCCGAATTTCCGCCAGACTTCTGCTGATACCGAACTTCCATCCATCGACGTACTTCCACCCATCGTCGGATTTCTGGCCATTGTCGGACTTCTGTCGGACCACCGCTCGTCCCAGGACTTTCGTCGGACTTTTGCCCGACGTCGGACTTTCATCCATCGCTGGACTTTTGACCATCGCCTTACTCGGCGCTAAACTTTCATCCATCGTCGGACTTACACCCTTCATTGTACTTCCTCCCATCACCGGACCGACTCTAGACTTCTGCCCCGCCACCAATTGACGTAGGATTTCCGCCCGACCATCAAACATCACCGAATTTCCATTCAATCTCTATTTGACACTTGTTTTTAACCCGAAGGTTAAATAATATGATCGTCCTTGATTTCAAGGATGAACCAATCACTTGTAATCTACTCAAACACTGGTGGAATCATTTCAACTTGGTGTGGCTCCATGATTTTTCCCTTCAGGGTTTTCCATATAAAAATTCTGACGTTTCTTTTTCCTATGTTTGTGTTGGATACTCGGGGAGCGCTAAGACGTGATATTTTTTGTACTTTACCGTCACAATACTCTAGCCCGCAACAGCTATGAACAGCAAAATCTATCCATAGGTAAAACGGTCATTCAAACTGATTTCAAGAGAATAAAAATTTGCAAAAAAAAAAAAAA